GGGCCGGGGGGGGGGGGGGGGGGCCCAGACCTGCTGTGGAGTTACAGGGCTTCCACAGGCTGGATAGAGAAGAGCAAGTCCTGTGGTAAAGGCTTACGGGCCCAGTGCTGCTGCCCCTGGCATTTCCTTTGGCCAAGCCAGGCTTCCCTGGGGCAGGGCGTTTGCTCGTGCGTGTGCGAGGTGGGGCTGTGTCCAGGTCCCCTGCTTTTGTACCGTGTCGATTTCATTTGTATCCCACAGTCCAGACTAGAATACCCCCAAACTTAGGCCATAAATATGCTCCACGGGGGTCTTTGCATAAGGTGCCCTCCTAGACAACATCCTTCAGGGGCAGTGTCTGGCATGGAGCACTAACCTCACACCTTTCGATGGTGCCCCAGGCAAACACAACTAGTGAGGCCCCATGCAGAGGGGATCCCTTCAGGCAAGCACTGGGGTTTCCAGATTTGTAATGAGCCCTTTGTGCAAATGCTTCACAGTGATTTCATCTCATTTTTGCCTGCTTCGTGTGACCATCAAAACAGGACTGTGTGCATATTGTCTGGCCTGCATAGCTCAAATCCAGGTTCTTGCACCATGTACAGCCTCTGGTAATCATACAGGTACCTTGTGAACATCAAAACAGGCCCATTTCCCCTCCATTGTTTCATGAAACTTTCTGTTTTCAAAGATGACATGAAACAAAACTTAAACTTCAAACAAAGGGAGTGTTGTTTAGTTGTTAGACCAAGGAAGTCTGGGGAGGTCTGGCTGTTATTCCCAACTCTGCCACTGGCTAGCTCTGAGACACCAGATAAATTATATAATCCCTTTGTGCCTTAATTTACACATCTGTAAATTGGTGGTAATTACCCATTTTGGTAAAATGTTTTTAGATTCTTACATGAAAGGCATCAAAATGTTCATATATTTGATCTTAGCATCATAGCTGGGACTACAGGAAGTCCCCGGGTTACGTACAAGATAGGGACTGTAGGTTTGTTCTTAAGTTGAATTTGTATGTAAGTCGGAACTGGTACATATTGTAGGGGAAACTCTAGCCAAACATTTCTCCAGAGCTCAGTTTTATTCTCCCACACCTCACTTCCCTCAGCCCTTTATTCTCAAGCTGAAGTGTCTGCTGAGAAAAGCCGCTCCACCTCTCCCTGGTCTGCTGGGGTGGGGGGGCGCTAGCTTCGCATCTCCCTGGTCTGCTGGGGGGGGAGGGGGCGCTAGCTTCGCGTCTCCCTGGTCTGCTGGGGGGAAGCAGCTAGTGTGGGGTTGCCTCACCGCGTTTGTAAGCAGGGATCCGATGTAAGTTGGATCCATGTAACCCGGGGACTGCCTGTAATTAATTGAATATGTTTATTTTGAGCAATGTAATTTCAGTCCAGCATAAGTCTGAGAAGTCTATGAGACATTAGTATTAATTGAAAGTGAGCCACAAATTCAATCACAACTGGGTACCCTTTTCAGTACTTTAAGGCTCAATCTTTAACTCCTAGCATTTTAAAGCAAGGCAAAATCAGCTAATAAAAACATTTAGATTTCGACAAGTAAAAAATTTCTTATTTTTAAAAGGCACCCACTTATTTGCAATTGCACTAATGACATTAAACATATAATCAGTTACCTAGTCCTACATTTTAATTGGTATCTGTGATGTGATGATATTTTATTTTACTGAAAAAGTATGAGACATATTTTCTCCCTTCCTCTCTTTAGGATCTCCTTTATCTCTGGTTAGTAACATTGACATGATAACAACCCCCAATCTACAGAGATAGGAAACTAGACCTTTATCTATGTTAAAGGTTAGACTTTTTATTGTTGGAACTTATCACCTAAGCACGCTTAGGCATAAACTTATTGTTCACTTAGGAAACTTCCCAGAGCTTTTCCAAAGAAGTTATTACACTTTGCTATACTTCCGAGGTGATTGTCACAAAGTATATGTACTCTTAGTATGACTAAATCTGAAATTTCTTTTTATGTACACTTTTTTCTGGAAGCATCTCTGTTCTTTTTTTAAAGTAAAGATAGTGAAAAATTTAAATAGTCTGAAAATTTGCTGGTTGCTTTCAAAGAATTTAATGCTCTTATTTCTCCAAAACAGCTTTTTTTCCTTATAGACACTAAAATAAGAAATAACAAAGAAAAGTTTGTTCAGGAGATGAAAGATGAGTAGTAGGATCTTAGCTATAAATTGTCAGGCTATTTATATGTATTAACAAGCATCTGTGCATATGGTATAATTTTTTGTTAATATTTTTTAATCTCTTTTGCCAATATTAACTTTGTAATGGCTCCATCTTGTGGCTAATAGGTACAATTGAGGATTAACTTTCATTACAAGCTTTACTTTCAGTGTATTAATTGACTCTACCTTTTCTCATTTTATAACCTCACAATGGGGTTTTTTTTTTGAAAAGCTAACTCCATTCAGTTGTACCTGAGTTATTCAAATATTTGTTTTTCACATACCAAAACGTTCTTCAGATATTTCTTTTCCCACTCTGATGTTGTTTGTGTTTCCTATAGATGTTTAAGAGTGATGTTGCTGACCAGCAGTTTAGCCTTGAAACTGCAATTGAAAACATGGATAAAATGTCCAGGGAGTTGAAGAAGCTAAATGGTAATTCTGAGTGCATCTATCATCAAACTAATGGGGACATGACTGAATTGGTTTATGCAGTGTTACTGTAGCCATGTTGGTCCCAGGATATTAGAGACACACGGTGGGAGGGGGAGATAATAGGTTTTATGGGACTAGCAGCTGGTAATGAGAGAGACTATCTTTCGAGTTCACACACAACTCTACTTCAGGTCTGGGAAATGTACTCAGAGTTTCATAGCTAAATACAAGAATTGTTAGTAGTAGAAGTTAACGCACGCTCCTGACAGAGCAAGAAGCAATCGTGTCAAATTGCAGTGGGTGAGATCTAGGTTGGATATTAGGAAAAACTATTTCACTGGGAGGGTAGGGAAGCACTGGAATGGGTTACCTAGAAGTTGGTGGAATCTCCATCCCTAGAGGTTTTTAAGGCCCAGCTTTCAAAGTCCTGGCTGGGATAATTGAGTTGGGGTTGGTCCTGCTTCGAGCAGCGGGTTGGGCTAGATAACCTCCTGAGGTCTCTTCCAATCCTAATCTTCTATGATTTCATGAACACATATTTCAAGTGACCATTCACGGTGAAGTGGCCCATTAACACTCCTCTAGTCACCAGGGAAAGAAACAGGGGGTATGTCTACACTACCACCCTAGTTCGAACTAGGGTGGTTAATGTAGTCAACCGGAGTTGCAATTGAAGCCCGGGATTTGAATTTCCCGGGCTTCATTTGCATGTTGCCGGGCGCCACTATTTTTAAATGTCCGCTAGTTCGGACTCCGTGCCCACGGCTACACGCGGCACGAACTAGGTAGTTCGGATTAGGCTTCCTATTCCGAACTACCTGTACTCCTCGTTTAAAAATGGCGGCGCCCGGCAACATGCAAATGAAGCCCGGGAAATTCAAATCCCGGGCTTCATTTGCAACTCTGGTTGACTACATTAACCACCCTAGTTCGAACTAGGGTGGTAGTGTAGACATACCCAGGGTTAGGAATGGAGGGGAAGGATTTGGAAATGGGTGGGTGACGTGCAGTGTCTCTACTGAGTCTTTCTATTTTTGCTAGAAACTAAAACTCATTAGATGAGTAGACGCTGGGTTTATGGCTTTTTATAACAACCTGTAACTCATATGCACTAGCAATCCTCCCCCCCCCCCCCCCCCCCGCTGTCTTCCTTTCCCCTCCTGACTGGAAGGTTGTTAATAGACCAATTCACCTTGAATGGTCCCTTGAAGTATGTCTTCACTAGTTATGCTAAATAACCAGTTCTACCTTGTATTTCCCAGCTGCTATTGAACTTGGGCAGATTTTGTGACTGTTGTTACCTCTATATAATAAAATAAAAATATGTCCCATGTCATGAAAAATTAATAAAATAATATTTGCTGTACAATAAAGAGTATCATATTAACCAAACATGGAAAAGTCATGCTAGATACCAGTTAATTCTTCAGCAAGCATAGCTTCCTAACAGAAGAGATATCCTAGCAAAATGTATTGAACTGCCTTGGAGAAATAGCATTATCAGCATTTAATTTACAGAAGAGTTGAATGATGGCTACTTTAAAAAGCTCTACAGTAAATTGCCACTCAGCCACATAATGTATATTATATAGTAAATATTCATGAGTGTATTCTGTACTTTTTTCTTACAGTGCAAAGCCAGCTGCTGCTCTGTGACCTTACTTTGAACTTCAATCATCCTGTGAAGACCACCGTTGCAAGGGAAGTAGAAGAAGAGAAAATAGATTCTGAAGAATTGAGTAATTCTATTCCATTAAATGCTGATGTTTCAATTACTAATTCTTCACTTTGAGCTATTAGAATTCCAGCATGGCTTTCTGCTCTAGATTTTCAGTGAGTGATGAAGGTTCTTAGTGAAACATCACATTAAACCAGGCAAGCAAAAGAGGAAACCTCATCAACATCTTGCTGACTTTTAAGTGTTTTTTGCTTTAATTAAAATAATACAAAGGCAAACAATTGGTCCATAGTTTATACATTTTCAAAATCCACTTTTTTATTGAATAGCTGAGGTTGCTGAGAACGGTGGTATGGAAAATGAGATGGCTCAGGAAATTGTTTATGGGACATGAAATATTTCAGATCTAGTTACCTGTTTTGAATTGAGACCAGACTGGTAACAATGATCCACTTGCCTTCTTCACTACAAACCTATAGCCATGAATGAAATAGCAGGTGACTTCTTGAAAGCCATCTCTCTGCCTGTCGTGACCCCCTAATATACCCAGCTACAAGATACTAACAGAGGGGTAAGGCTGACAAACTTAGATGCAAAACTCAAATCATGCAAGTTTCAGAAAATGGAATAAAATATAAGATCGTAGGCAAATAATGGACTAGAACTGTTCCTTATTAAGTCAGTGGGAAAAGCTCTGTGGCCTTATATTTATAACTGATTCTGAATTACAGTTTATATTTTAAAACAGACGGACTGCATCTAGACAGGCAAGTTATTCTGCAAAAGCAGCTGCTTTTGTGGAAAAACTTGCCAGCTGTCTACACTGGCCGCTTGAATTGGCGCAAGAACACTGACGATCTAATGTAAGATTGTCAGTGTTCTTGCGCAAAAACTATGATGCGCCCACTCAGGGATAAGCCCTCCTGTGCAAATGCTTTTACGCAAGAGGGCCAGTGTAGACAGGTAAAAACTGTTTTGCACAAAAAAGCCCCAATGGTGAAAATGGCGATCAGGGCTTTCTTGCGCAAAACCGCATCTAGATTGGCACAGACGCTTTTGCACAAAAAATGCTTTTGCGTTAAAGCATCTGTGCCAATTTAGACGCTCTTTTCCACAAATGCTTTTAACAGAAAATTTTTTCTGTTAAAAGCATTTGCAGAAAATCATGCCAGTCTAGATGCAGCCACAGTGTTTTATAAAAAACATGGACTAGTCACCTATCCCAAGCCTACTTGTTAGCCCCACCCATGCTTAGTTATTTGCTTCCTGGGCAATGAGTTTGGGTGTAGACCTAGGACTGAAATTGCCACACCAGCTAAAGGTAAAGACCAGGCTTAAGCAACCTGCACTGAAGGACCGGAGCAAAATTTCTGAAGGGGAAATTAGGAGGTTTTGAGCAAAGGTAATTTTAGGATAAAGTAATCTGGAGAGGCCAGTGTGGGTTTGCAGTGAGATGCCATTTGTACTTGTTTGGAGGTCCAGACGGTGGTACCTACTGAGGGACGGAAGAAGTCTACTTTCTCTTTACCTGCATCAAGAGAGTACAACTCTCTCATGGTGGTTGAGCCATGTCATGTATCGAACCGGGTGAGACCTGATGCTAGGCTCTTGGATGTCTGTCTATGAATGTGGAGCTGTTTAAATGGACTGGGTTCCTGGGAAGGAACAATTTTTGAGAAACAGAAAGAAGGGAAACTGAGACAGAGAAAGGGTCTATCACCAGATGAGATGAGACCCAGTTACACTTATATTTTCAGAGCCTTTTCTTTGCAGAAACGTGTGGGTGCAAGGTAATACATGGTTGGGACCTCAATATATGCAGGCACCAATTTTAGAATGGAAGATGTCTCTAGATCACATTGAAGAGGGAATATGTACCATCTAGAACAGCAATGGGAAATCTGGACTAGTGAGTGGGCCACACGGATGGCCTTCCATCTCAATGGGCCCACAAGATTGTCATAACAAGGATGGTCTCCTGGGATAGGGCTGTTTTGCTAACTGCCCTTGCATCTCTAGAATTTGTGTGGTGTGCCAATGGAACCGAAGTGGCGCTTTGGCTGCAGAGGGAGCGCTCAGCTCTCACAGTCAATAACGTGCACGATCAGCATGCACCTCACTTCACGTGTCCGTGGTTTACAGGGGTGTCACTTCAATAATTCTAGTAGAAAAACAATTACTCCGGTGAAAGCCAGCCGAATTTGGCAACCCTGCATGTGAGCAACGGTAAACAAGATGTCTTGTGGGCCACACATAGAAATCCGATGGCCTGTATGTGGCCCTTGGGCCACAGGTTGCCTACCACTGATACAAACTATTAAACTAAAAAGTCACATAGTTCATACCATTATAATAAATTAGGGATGTTAAATATCAGTTAATTCAATAGTTGAGTAACCTCATGACATTTTATTGGTTAGTCGACTATTCTATAGTCCCCGGCGACGGCAGCCACTGAATCAAAGACAGTAGCACAGTGTGCCAGGTGGGAGCTGGTCCACGAGGGGAGACAGTTTAAAAACCAGCTCTCCTCATGGACCGGCTGCCTGTTACCCTGCGCTGCTGCTTCTGAGAAAAGAGGCAGCAGCGCGGAGTAGCAGCAGTCCCTGTCTAGGGGTGGGTCTCAGCTCCTGGACCCAGCACAAGCCAGAACTGAGCTGGGCTGTCTGCCCGCCTGACTTTTAATACACTTGAATGCGGGTCTGAAATGGGGGTAGGTCCTGGACCCAATGTGAGCCAGGACTGAGCCAGGCTATTGGCCAGCCTGCTAAAAATTTACTGGCAGGGAGGGAAGGAGAAGGGAATGCATGTAGTCTATAGTATTAACCTATAAGCTTTTTCCTTATTGGTTAATCGGTTAATCGACTATACTATTACATACCTAGAATAATGTAGCCATAAAGAGTGTAGGTTTCTACTAAAAAGTGGACTGTGAAATATGACATGTTTATTGATTCAATTTACACAAGATTTTTCTAATTTTATATCAACGTACATAAAATATATCAAAGTCAACAATACAATCTTTCAATAGGAATAACAGTCATTAGCAGTTTCACTGTACTGTACAAGCATTACACGGACATTTATTAACCTCCGTTTGCAGCTTAATGAAATTGGTACCGTCAAATTGCCCTGAACGGTAGTTTGCATAGTTTTGCTTTGTGACTAAGCAGTGTAAATCGATGCTACATCCACCACGTGTGATCCTGCACATGCGTGGCGACCCTTTCACATGAGGGAGGCATGTTGGAGAATGGCATCATTCACACGAAGAGTTTTCATGCAGTGGTTTGAACAATGGAGAGTAATAAATACGCTGTAGGAAGTATTTTGCAAAACTGTTCTTTTGAAAAACGCACTTTCAAATGAGAGAATTTTCGTTTTGTCATTAAAACCAAAAGGAATTTTAATTCATCATTTCAGTTCATTGAACGCAAATGGAAATATCATGAAGTTTGTATGCTCTGGCGGACTGTTGATCCCAGACATGGAGTTTTCTTCTACATATATCCTGCAGCGTAGGTTAACATGCATTGGTTTCTTGAACCTCGGTCTTTTCCATCAATCAGCAGAAGGGGTGTTCTTTGAAAGTAAGCAATAATTTCTGCCACTGAAGAAAAATCCTGCGGAATAAAAACCAAGGCAGTGGTTGCCAGAGTTCTTACTACTTCTCAAACTAAAGGGATAGTATTTATTTAGACCATGGCTATTTCATGCTCTCCTGTTTCAGGGGAATTGCTGTACTCGAATAGATCATTAGGTTACCTACCACTGCACTACAATTTGCTTCCCCTACTGGTCTTCCCATCTTGGATATTTCCATGGAATTTAAACACTCTTATCCAAAAATTCACCCACCCAATGAAATTGTGAAATATAAGTTTTTCTTGAATGTGAGTCAGGAGGCCTGGCTGTGCTCTTAGCTACACCAGTGTATATCTGGAATCCCTCTAGTGAAGTAAGTGACATTCTTTTTGATAAATCTGCTGATGACCGGTAAAGAGAGAGATGGTGATACAAAGAAAGAAACATACTGTACCTCTTTTCCTTTCAGGCCAGTTCCTAACAAGTATACTTGATTTTGCTCCTGGTAACGAATCTGAATATTGTATACTTTATCTTTGTATAATACCATCAGTACGTATGGATGTGTGTTCGTTTTTCTGGAGCTGTCTCTCACCAAGAACGTCCCATCCTAAAAGATCACACATGAAAATCAAATGTATTTTTGACCAACATAGCAATCACATAAGTAGAATGCTGAGCTTGTTTTTAAATGTACCGTGAGTCTGGATTCTAGTTGTTCAGAAAGAGAGCAATTGCCATCACCGCTTTCAGAGGTTAGATGATTTCTTAAAGGAAGAAGCAACACACAAACAAAGCCTTGCATTCTGCTATCTAAAATGTCCAACTTCAAAGGTTAGTTCAAATGCTGAAATAGTAATTTTAGAGAGAAATTATACTCCAATGTTGAGATACTTAGCAAAGTGCTGCGGGTGATGTTCTGGTCTTAGTGAAGTCAATAGCAAAACTTTCATTGACTTCAGTAGGCTGGGATTTCAGCCCAAAAGGTGAAACCTATTGGTGTGTTGGGGACTTTTGTACACAACTAAAAGGGATGCCCTCTAAGGCACTCAGAGGTTTAGACAATCTTGGAGTGTTCTAGCTCACTGTAAACAGGGACGTGGGGCCTCCTCCATCAGGGAGGGAAATGAAACAGGCCTCTCCCAGTGAGTGTGGGTCTTAAATATTTTAGGGAGAGAAGGAGTATGTAGAGGGATGCCGCTTTCTTACATAGAAGATCTTGCCTCTCAGAGACAAAAGTTTGTTGAGCTCCCTATCCTATGAAGCTCTTTTCACTCATTGCTCCATCTTACATATATAATTTATACTAGGTGACTTACCCGGTGTTGCCACTGGTGTGGAGGGTGAAAGAGTCAGAGCGGGGGCTTGGGGATGTGTGTGTGTGGGGGGGGAAGGCTTCAGGACTCATGGTAGGGGGTTGAGGAAGGATCAGGGTACTGGTTGGAGATGTGGGTGTGTGTGAGAGCGAGGGTTGGGGGTAAGTAGAAGCTCAGGGTGGGGGGGGGTGCAGGAGTCAGGCTGGGTGCTCAGGGAAGGGAGTGAGGATTCAGGAATCAGGAAAGGGGATTGGGAAGAGGGGGAGGGGAGTGCAGAGCAGGGGGAAGTGCAGCACGGTAAGGGGGGGCAACCTGCTTGCCAGCTTGTCCTGGTGGGGGAATGTGCATGCCACCCTCTGGCTTCTCCTGGGATTATCCAGGAGTGGGGTAGGGGAGCGAAGCCAGGGCAGAGGAGGCCCAGGGCAGGGGGGGTCCACATAGGGCTTGGGGGGCAGAAAGGGGGCAACACAGACAGGCTGGAGCTTTGGCACACTGGGCGGCTTGGCAGTGTTGAGGGGAGGGGTGTGGCTCCCCCAGGGGTTGCTGGGGCTTCTCCCCTTCCATCCTGTGGGGCCTTCTCCGCTCATCTAGCAGGGCTTTTTCTCCCCTCTGCCCCCAACCCGTCCAGCACAGCTTTTCTGCTTCCATCTGGCAGGGCTTTTTCTCCCCTCACTCCCCCGTCTGATGGGTCCTTTTCTCTCCCCTGTTTGATGGGGCTTTCCCCACCCCCATCTCCTCTCTGGGAGGGGCCTTTTCTCCCTCTCCCATCTTACTGAGGCCTTTCCCTCCCACTGCTCTGGTGCTGTGGCCATGGGTCAAAGGTGAGAGGGATTTGGAGCGAGGGTGGGGCAGGACATTTACCCTGTCCAGTGGCCAGCATGATGGTCCTAGCCCCAGCCGGTCATTCTCTTGGTGGTGTGGCTGCCCCCAATGGTCACCCAGCAGTATAGTTTCTACCCAGCACTCACTTCCCCCAGTGGTCCCTGTGAACATAGAGTCCCTCCGAACAGACCCCTCCCTGTCCATGTATGGAAAACAATCCCATTCAAGACACTTCCCATTTTCCCGGTACAACCAAACCCTGACCTTGGTTTAAGTTAAGATAAGAGGAAGCTGCATACCGAATTTGGTGGTTCTAACTCTTACCATTTAGGAGGAGTTCTTGAACAAGTGAACTGACAGACAGACGGACAGAGAGACAGACAGATGCACATGTCTAAAATATATGCTTAGGTTACCATAACTCCCAGCTTTCAAACTTTTGCACACTTAAGGGGTCTGGGGCCTGTGCATGGATGCTTTTTTTGCATAACTCTGGGGCCAGGCTTGCCTATTTGATCACCTCTGCCAAACTACTGAAGTGCAAAGATTTTTATTACCCTTGTGCTGCCACAGGAGTACAAAGAAAGACCAGGGCATCTATTACTAAAATAGAATCTAATCTTTTGTCTGGGTGGGGTGGGTGTTGTGTTGGGGCTGTGTTTCCATTGGTCTTCCTGCCTGTCAGGCAAAGGAGAACTTGCAAATTGCCCCTGTATTGAAGTCAGGGAGATGCACAAATCCCATAATCCCTCAGTCCTCAGTAGGGAAGAGTCACAAACTATCCTCTTGAGCCACGTGAAGGGGTTACACACTAATGCTATGTCTACGCTGGCGGGTTATTGCGCAAGTACAGCCGTTCTTGCGCAAGAATCCACAGAGCGTCGGCACTGCCCACCCGCTCTTGCGCAAATAAATTTACAGTACGATGTAGTAAGAGAGGGCTCCTTGCACAAGAGCTATGCTATTTTTTATCAGGTGTAAGCCCTCTTGAGCAGGAGCTCTTGCGCAAGAGGGCAGTGTGGATGCTCAGCAGGGATTTCTTGCGCAAGAGAGCCCTATGGCTAAAATGGCCATCAGAGCTTTCTTGTGCAAGAGAGCGTCCACACTGCCATGGGAACACTTGTGCAAAAGCACAGTACACACATGGCAGTGTGGACGTTTTCTTGCACAAGAACCCTTGCTCAAGATGTTGTTGCATGAGAAGCCACCAGTGTAGACATAGCCTAAGAGAGGATATAGAATATGGGATAAATGGCCTTTGGGGATCAGTTGAGTTCAGGTATTAGGAGTTGATCGTTGCTATCTTATTTGCAGACTCACCCCAATGCAGGTGGTGAGTTCAGACGTCATGGTATGTGTGTGGACTGTATCATTAACATAGTTTGAAAAAAGGGCCTATTTATACTTACTCACTTCCATACTGATCCAAGTTTTTGGTAGCCCTCTGACCAGGCACTGCCAATCTGAACACTGTATGCTTGATGAGTCTGAGTGCCTTTTTGTTTGTGTGCTTGTAAAATTGTGTGTGTGTTGAGGCAGGGAGGTAATGGTGGTATTCACAAATAGGATGTGCCACCTGATTTTGCAGGTGCATCTCAAGGAAGTCTAAACTAAAATCTCTTTATGAAAAATGTGCATTCATTCCCTTTTTCCATGTGCTTGTGTAACCCCCTTTTTCCTCCCCGGGTTACTGGGGAGCAGGTCACACTCACAGCTGTGCCTGGGCGCCTGGTGTTTTAACCCAAAAGAGATCCTAAGCACCCCAGTGGTGATGGTGTTTAGTTGGGGAAAGCCCTATCTACTCCCTTGGTGCAGTCCCTTGCTGGCAGCGAATATAAAATGGCGGTGCCTCCACCTGGCTGGCCTTGTACACACACTGGTGCCTTGAGAGCCTCCAGGAATATACTCATTCCAACATAAATCTGGATCTAATTCCAGAACAACTACAAATCATATATATCTAATAAAATACTTTAAAATAAACAATCTTTACTTAACTTAAATAAACAGGGATTACAGATTAGCAATGAATAGATTAACAAAACACATAGCAATAATTGAAGCTTATATAGCTAGACGACAGTGACCCCACCCCAGAGTGTGCACACCCCTAGACTCAGTCCCAGACACTTGCTTGCGTTGGCGCTGATGTTGCAGCTGTAGTGAGGATTTGGTCCAGGCTAAACAGCAGCTCTGTCTCAGGCAGCACTCTTCCAGCAAGGCCCAAACTTACTGCCTCGTGCTGTGCCTATAGGACGCAGCCTGCTAACTCCCAGTTCCAACAAGCATCTAGTAGCTGCATCCAACAGCCCCTGAACTGGGTCAATCTCCTTGGCAGCAGCCTGGCTCCCCCTCTGGTTCCAAACTCCAAGGCAGAGTCCCAGACTGCTAGGCCTCTTTCTTCAAGCACATGGAGAGAGCACCCCTCTCTCCCCCTAGAGTCCTCCCTTCCTGTTTTTTCCCAAGGGTCATGGGAATTGTAGTCTGGATTGTAGCACACAGGGTCTTTTCAGAAAAAAACAGAGGCCCCTTTAGTAAGGGGACTACACTTGCAAAGACAGATACCAGGATACAAACCAGTTAAACAACGCATCCAGTATTCCCATAGCCATGTAAGGGCACTTGCTAGCACTGTACCTTATTTATCTTCCTAAGAGATGCTTCTGCTTCCTGCCGGCTGATGTCTGCAGCGTACCACTCTGTGTTCAGTGAGTCCTGAAATGTTTTTAGTTTATGTTGGGGGACAAAAGAGGAGAAAGTCGGCTGTCAGAGAATTCATTTTTGTGAGGTTATAAGTGTGCATGCACAGAAATAGAAAAGAATGTAAACGGGGGGAGGGGAAGTGGTGTGTTCCCAGACGCAGGGATGAGAGATGGCAACATGTTTAGTTCTGACCTTGTTATGTTCCAGCACTCTCTGAAGTTGTTTGCATGTGCTGTCACTTTGCTACCATGGAAACCAGAGACCTGAGGACTCTAGGGGTTTGATAAACATTTCATTTCCTGTGACTTTTCTTTTGTTGTGTCCAGATGAGTCACAGACATCATAAGTCTCCTATTTTTGCATCAGCTGAGCCTAGGGCTCTGGCTTGCTCTCCTGCACTAAACACATGCACACACAAATCTGCCCTACATGACCACTCAACAGATCAGCACAAATCAGGTGCTGAGGGGAGGTAATTGTCCAAGAAATATGGAGGTTGGCTTATTTGAGAGGAGAAATGAGGTATGTCAGGGCAGCTCTGAAAGACGGGAAGTGGACTACAGGTTGAACCTCTGTAAACTGGGACTCTCTGATCCGGCCAGAATACTGATGTTCCAAGACCAGAGAGGCCAAATGGAGAGTTGGTGCCTGGAAGCTCCGTGATCCAGCAGCAGGGCTGCCTGGCAGTGGGGCCAGCAGCAGAGGTGGAGCTGGGGGAGAGGCCAGCAGCCAGTCCAGGGCTGGGAGAGGGGGGTGGTAGCAGGGGGACCAGAAATGTCCTTCCCTCGTCTGGGTAAATCCTTCATCTGGGACCGGTCAGGTCCTGAAAGTGCCAGACCAGGGAGGTCCAACCTGTAGTAAACTTCATTGTAGCTTCTGATTGTTTCACCACACTTTCCACTGTATTTTCACTCCTCTTGCTTAGTAAAAACCAGGTAAGGAACAGAGGTTGGGCATTGCAAGGCAAACCACATCAAATCCATCAGCGTATCCCTGGGGTGGGGAACTGTTTTTCTGTCACAGGCCATTAACCCACAGAAAAATCAGTTGTGGGCCTCTCGCCCATGTAGGGGGCGTGGAGGGAAGGGTGGGGTTCAATGCAGGCAGATGAAATTAAGGAATGGGCAGGATCTGTCCTGAGGCCCATAGGTTCCCCAACCCTGGTGTGTACCAAAGAATAACTGCTGAATAACAAACCAATTTAGGGGCAGAGGGAACCCAATGGTTTCCTGTTTAGCTGATTTGCTATGCAGAGGGACTAGGATTAATGTCTGTCACATACATGACTCATGTCTGCACATGGTCGGGGCCTCAGTCTAAAGAGGAAGACATGTCATTACCCCACACATCTCCTGTGGCCAACCAGTCCCTGGCCCTGGAGCTGCTGTGCTCTTCCTGCAGGGAGTTATCTACATGGGGGGAGCCGGGGAGAACTGTCCTTCCCCCGGCACATCCAGCCACTCTCCCTGGCAGTTGGGCCCAGGTGAGGCGCAAGATGGAGCCACGTCTCATGTGGCCGACTCCGGCCACTCCTGGTTGTGGGTGAAGGCAGCCGCAGGCTGCCCCCTGCCTGGGCCCAGCTCTGGGGGATAGGTGCTGTGTGAGCCAGAAACATGCCAGGGTTAGAAGGGCTCTCTCCGAGGCAGCCACACTGCTCACAGCAATGACCCTCAGCAGCTGGCGTGAGAAGTGGCTGGTTCCATCCTTTCGGCTCTCTGCCCAGCCTGGCTGCCAGAGTCAGGGGTCGAGCATGTCAGGGGCAGGCACAGCTGGAGAAAGGAGCCGTCTCTGCCTTTCCCCTAGCAGGCCAAGTGAAATCGGGTGGGAGGGCACTTAAACCCATATACCCCCCCCCCCCCCATGTGTCCCCGATGTGATACCTCATCTTCCTCCATGCTTGGTGGCTGCACAATCTGCCTGTTAGGAATTGGTAACGGTGGTCTGACATCCGCTGGGCCTTTTGAAGCAGCTCTATTGATGTTACCTTTAACATTGTGGAATACATTTAAATTAAAAACAGAACAATAAAAACTTGTTTATGGAGCAGATACTAGAATTTAGTTTGGGTTTTAATTCTCAGTTATACCCAGGCCTATTTACACTAATTGAGGAGCATAAGGAACCTCAAAGTGGGTGAAAATTATACTCTCACCTAATGTAATTGATAATCTGACCTATCTTTAAGTAATGGGACAAATTCATCTTTGGTATACCTGAGAGCCACTCCCAGGGACTTTAAGAGAATTGCATTAGCTACGGATGCCTCAAAGACAGCTGTACTTGAAATAGGAATTGAGATGATCATCTGTAACACAGTTATTTAATTAGGAGAGTATCTCCAGTTACCTTAGCTACAGCTAACCTAAACTGCTACAGTTACAAACAGCAATGCTGCACTGTTAGAGATGCATAAAATTGCATTGGAGAGAGAAAGAATTTGCTGAATGGAATTTCCTTGGTGGAAACCTTGAACAGCTGTATTGGTAATAGCGACCAGTGTTGAACACTGAATGTTATGCCAAGAAATTGATTTCCAGTGTTGCTTATTTTTAATTACGGTAATTAAATATGTAGCTGAGTCTAACTTAATTTCGACTAGGAAATACCTTTCTCATCAGAAAAGGTATTGGAAGAGCATTATTCAGATCTAAAATGTTCATTGCTTTTTTTTCTTACCATCACACAAATCATTATTGGAATTATGTAATTACATAGGACCCTCAGAATGAATGTAGTCAATTTATGTATTCTGAGACTAGTGCTTATAAACTATACCTCTAGAGTACATCTACACAGCAGGACTGAAGCTGAAGTAAGCTACGCAACTTGAGCAATGTCAATTGTGTAGCTGATGTCAAAATAGCTTATTTTGGCTTTTGGCGCTGTCTACACAGCAGGAAGTGCAAGGAAGAGTACTCTTCTTCCAACTTCCCTTACTCCTCATAAAATAAGGGTTACAGGAGTCGGAGTAAGAAGTCCTCCAACTTGCCATTATTTTGACATTATGTTGAAATAACTGCTTGTAGTGTAGTTATTCCAAAATAACACTGTCAATTATAACACTGTCAGTTATTCTGAAATAACACTGCTGTGTAGACATAGCCCGAGGGTATGTCTAGACTACATCTGTTTGTCGGAAAAAGCTACGCAAAATGTGGTCCGCATTTTGCGTAGCTTTTTCCGATACTTTTGTCGGAAGAGGCTTTTCTGACATTTGGCCTGTCTAGACTGGGCCAAATGTTGGAAAAAAACCTTTTTTGGAAGCCCCCTTTTTTCTCGTAAAACAAGGAATACAGCAGCTTCCTAAAGAGAGCGTTTGCTCTTCCACAAAAAAAAAAAGCGGAAGAGCAAACAAGTTCCCTGGATGTGGAAGAGTTCTTCCGGGATACCTCTGGTATCCCCAAAAAACTGTATAGTCTAGACATACCCCTAATGAGGTAAAGAATTAGGTTAGATTTTGTCAGTGTCTTAACTAAAAAGATGGAATTGCCAAATGTTAACAAGGAAAAATACCCACCATGAACATAGACTAAATGAACTAAAAAAGGTAACTAACTAGTGTTTAAAAAGGTCTGAAAAAGGTAAGAGTCTCTCATAATTTGGAAGCAGCAATTCTGTAAAGCAATGTCTAAAGCGTGGCCCTCAGAAATCCTTGTGGTGCTGCTGAGGATGGAATAATGAGAAAGAATAAGGCACCTAATATTAACATAAAATACATTCTTTAGGCTTGGTGGGGTGGATGTGCACCTCCCTCCACCACCCCCAACAGTATCTGACAGTTCTTTATTGCTATGAAATCCAGAAGCTGCGTGCCCACGACAGATGCCATGCAGTGCAACCCTAAGACATCCTGACATGTGGAGAGAACATCCAGGCGCACCGAATACAAACCTTGCTGAAAGCGTGGTGGTAGTGATCCACTTGAAGAAATGTTGTTCGTACTGCAAAAGAAATCAATGAAACTGACGTTTAGTGCAGGCAGTATATGTAGCAATCACCATACTATTTAATGTTTTAAACTGTGGCTGCTCCCAGAGGCACGGACCCACACTGGGGTCCCTTTGGGCCACAAACATGGAAGGAGACATAGTCCCTGTCCCCAAAGGTTTCCATTCTTCTTTCTTTATAGCAACCATGACTGATAAAGGCATCCTGCTCTGCCTCCTATGACATTCACATGGCAGTTGAGGCCAGTCTAACTCTCCTCGAGGACAGGGGTTTGGGGAGAAGGTGCAGAGATGTTGAGGATTTCGGGGAGCTGCAGAGGGGTAATTGTAGAGGGGGAGGGGCAGGAAATGCACAGGGTGAAGGAGGGAGGAGACAGGCTGGCATAAACCTGCCGGACATGCTCAGCCTAGGCCTTGATTGTCTGAACAGGCCCATTGGGAGAGGGATGAACGTTCCCCCATTTCTGAAAGAGGAAACTCCCCATGGACAGGGATGGGAAAACTGACCAGCTTCTAGATACTCCATTGTTCCAACAATGGCTATTAGCCAGGATGGGCAGAGAGGGTTTCCCAAGCCTCTGTTTGCTAGAAGTTAGGAATGGGGCGACAGGGAGGGATCACTTACGATTCCCTGTTCTGTTCATTCCCTCTGGCGCACTAGGCATTGGCCGCTGTCGGAAGACAGGACAGAAGGCTAGATGGACTTTTCGTCTGACCCTGTCTGGCTATTCTTATGAGGATAGTCCATGGCACTAATCCTCCTAGAGGGACCATTTCTGGATTAGTAGAATTGAAACCTAAAGAACCTCTACCTCTGTTGGGTTTCCAACCCATCTCTCTCTTTCCTCATAAGGTGAATATGAAACAAAACTACCAACACGTACTCATTTGGGGATTTCCCCCAAATTTTCCCCCTATCCCTGGCTTTATCTTTGGCTGCAGAACATGCCTCATTTCAACATTCAAGTTCCAGGAGATGCAAAAACTTGACAGTAGCTATGGCAGTGATTGAGTTCACACTTCTAGCCTCATTGGTGCAACGGCGTTGCAGGCTTAGTTTGTTTTTTTCTGCTCTTGCTGAGCTATTCAATTCTTCTTTTTATAAGATCTACAAAGGCTTTTTCAGCTTCCTATGAGAAATGTCTATAATTGAAACCAGGGCTCTTGGCAGCTCTGGAGTCCCAAAATGACAGCAACCAACGGCAATGATGAGTTTATCAGATCTTATCTCTTTTTCCCAGAAAAGTTTTATCTAACTAAGAATTCACTACCACGGGTTTCACTCCTCCTGTGTGCACATGAACCTCTCTTTAGATGTACTACACAAAAGACGCTGAGACTACAGTGTATGGGTATGTCCACACTACCCTCCTAGTTCGAACTAAGAGGGTAATGTAGGCATACCGCACTTGCAAATGAAGCCCGGGATTTGAATTTCCCGGGCTTCATTTGCATAAGCGGGGAACCCTGGATATTTAGCTCATTGTCTGACAAGTGGCTGGAGAACTAGAACAGAGACCTGCACTACAAGGTCCATCGTGTGTGCCTGCTGATTGACACGTGTCTAGCTCATTCAGATCAACACGGGTCTATTGTACATTGTGTTGAAATTTGTACCTTCCAATTCAATCTCAGGCTTGCAGTCGATGGACAAGGGTGTCATTAGCAACTTCAAAGGCCCTTAGTGCGCTCATCTGAATGTGTTCATCATTGCCGTTGCTCCTCTTGCGACTGGCCCAAGCCATCCAGTACTGAATGTTACAAAAGCCACTACACCAATTGATGCACTTTGTCTTGCTAAGGAGCTTTGGGCTGTTGATCTCTCTCTGGGTATGTCTACACTACCCCGCTAGTTCGAACTAGCGGGGTAGTGTAGACATACCCTTAATTACTATACACGACTACTATAGTGTCTTAGATGCTGCTTTTAAGAAGAGGCATCTGATTTTAAATATCCAACTTTTGACATCTTAAGGCTTAACTCTTCTTTTAAAACATGAAGTGAGTATCCAAAAGTCCAGTTGAAGTTATTGAGAACTGCAAGTGCTTCTGTAATGCCTAGAATTCCCCTTTTGAAATCAGGATCCCATTGAGAGAGGCACTGTACAGATGTATAACCGAAAAGGATTTACAGTCTCAATAGACAAGGCAGAAAAAGAATGGGAGAAATGGATAAATGCCTTTAGCTGGGAAGTCAAAGATGAAGGACCCCAAATTAGAATCTAATTGTAGCTCATACCAAAGAGGTCCTAATACAGTCTTTTCTTAGGCCTGGTCTACACTGGGAGTTTAGGTCGAACTGAGCCACATTAGGTCGAATTTATAAACAATGAGTCCATACCACCAAGCCTGTTCCGTTGACTTTAAATGCAGTTAAAGTCGATTTTGGCAGTTCTGCTTTTCACAAGGAGTATTGCTAAATTTGACCTTGCATAATCAACTTTACAATAGTGCAGACACAACACTGTGAAAGTCACAATTCTTTGCCTGCAGGAGTTTCCCACAATGCCCCGTGGTGACCGCTCTGGCCAGGATTTTCAATTTTACTGCTCTTCAGGTGAACAGGAAAAGCCCGAAGAAAATTTGAATTTCACTTCCTGTGTGGCCAGCATGATGAGCAGACCTCAGAGCAGGCCGCACACCTGAGCATCTCACCTAACTATGAGTTCCCAGGGTGGCAGACGCGCACCACTATAGAGTGTTCAGGTGCTGTGTGGGGAGAAGAATCTGTTCTTGCAGAACTATGAACTGGCAAAAGGAACACAAATATTTATGCAGAGATTGCAAAGGGCATGGGGGAGAAAGGACACCCCAGGCAGGCCCAGCAGCACTGCATGAAAATAAAGGAGCTGAGGCAGCTGTACCAGAAGACAAAGGAGGCAAATGGACAGTCTGGATTATCGCCTCAAACGTGCCCCTTCTAGGTGCAGCTGCATGCGATCTTTTGAGGGGGGGAACTCGATCAGCTTTCCTAACCGGCTCAGGGATTGCTCCCAAAATACTCTCTCCTCTGGCAACCTCAGACACTAGAGTGGAGGACAGCATGGATGAGGAAGAGGAGGAGGAGGAGGAGGAGGCATCTGCTAGTCGCTCAACTTAAGTGCTTTGCAGGATAGTACGTTCACAGCCTTCTGAGTTTCTGCTTCATTCCGGCAGACCCTGCATACTCTCCAGACATACTCCAGCGTAAGTCTCACCATGATTAATATTGCCATAATGCTTTCATGCCCAACGGGATCCACAAGGGTTCCATCTAATGCTGTTATGATGTCTGCATGGATAACCAGGGGAAAAAAGGGCATGAAGAGACTGTTTGCTGTTGCTTTCAAGCAGGGGGGAGAGGGAGGAGACAAGTGCATTATGGGACACTGACGACATGTACCCAGAACCACCCGCTGCACGGTTTTGGTCCCCGGTTGCACTGGGAGCATAACCCAGAATGCAAAGGAACTGTGGGATAGCTACCCACAGAGACTCGCTCTTAAAGACGATGGTAGCCACCCTACTGGGCATGCATTACTTCAAACTACCTCAAATTCTTACACACAGTGGGAACATGCACCTTTGACTTTACAAAATCGGGTGCTAAAAATTGACCTTAACACATTTGACTTTCTCTCGTAGTGTAGTCATGGCCTAAATGTAGAACTAAGAGAGGAGCCTTCCTCAGCTTCTCCTAGTGTATCTGATACATATTGTCTGTATGTTTGGATTATACAGAGATTTAAGACTCTGTGGGTGATGGCTTTACAGCACTAGAGGATTCCCCTAAGATGGTGAAGACAGCCCACGGCAAGTAGAACAGAACCAAGGATCTGGCCTTTAGATATTGAACTTATTAGGTAGTAATCTTTAGAGTCTTGTACAGCACCCTACACAGTGTCATTCCTCAAGAAGTAATAATACACAATGAATACAACTAGTGCTACAAACCTGTCTGCGTAAGATCCAGGCATACTTTTGGATCCCGAAGGAATGTGTTTAGGAGGCGGCTTGCCAGACCTTGCAGGGAACGTGTTGGAGCTGAAGGGGGGCAAAGGTTGCTGTGGTATTGATCTCTGGGACGTTGCTGTGAAGAAGAAAAGCAGAGCTAGCTAAGATATGAGCATGAGGTTACCACAGGGACTCTTAAAAGCAGCTTGTAAAAAGGGGTGAAGTGAATTAATAGTATCACAACACAGAGGGTTGTCTAATCTGATACAAGCAATGGAACAATCTGTCATTAAATGCCTGTCAGAACTATACACTGGGTCTCGGAATATTGTTGATAGTAGAAGGCTTCTCTTGTATTCATTTTAGAGGTGGAAAATTTAGTAGAAATGTTTTTGCTTCTGAACTCCTAGATAAGTTACAGTCCATCTTTAGAAGCTATTTAGCTAACACAGTACAATAAACATAAAGACAATGTTCCCCAGTCAGCTTTCTCTGCCATGGCATTGCTGACCATTGGATTTGAGACTCCTCTTTCTCCTCCTCCTCCTCAGGGATTTGTGTTCTGACACCACCTTCACCGCATGGATCATTAGACAAGTGGGCGACCACACCAAACGATGACAGCATGAGACACACACTCTCCTTTGGCGCTACTCTCAGCCCAAGCTGGTCTGACAGGAAGGGTGGGGAATTCAGATTGTGAATTCAGATCCGAATGGTGTCAATGACCTCAATTTTTAATGGGCTGAACCAAAACTCAGATTTAGTCAATCTTAGACTTTGACATGTTGAAAAGCAAGAGGTGAATTTTGCAGCTTTGGCCCATATAGACGGAGCTTGGTCCTGCCTTGAGGGTGGGGGGCTGGACTCGATGACCTCTCGAGGTCCCTGCCAGTCCTATTATTCTATGATTCTATGATTCTATGATATCCATTAGCTTTATTATAAACCATTATACAGCATCTCAGTGGCACATGGGGGTAATTTCTAAATGCTAGCATTGTTATTTGAGCTGAATACTAATCTCTATGCTCACATGAATCATCAGAACTATCTTCACATGACATTAATAACACTCTATGTGTGATAAAGGCAACCAGGGCTTGGCCTATTATCATACAGAAGATCAAGAGGCCAATAGGTTTTAATTCCTGCTTATTAGGTTCTCTGTGCAAATATCTGTACAGATATATACTGCGTTCAGGGTTATAACATTGTAATGCATTTAGATAAGTGTATGAAATACTGGCTAAGTGGAAGAAATTGTTGATGTGCTCCAACTCCCTGTGTTTTCTGACTTCATTTCTTAAATCTGCATGAGATTTTTGGAAGATTTCTACCGGCAGCCAATTTATGCAATGTTGGCTTTTCTATTTGACTATACGTAGATCTGCTCAGAGTTTCATTTGAGCTTCTTAACAGAGAAAGAGGGAGAATGTAGAAGAAGTGTTGAAAGCACTTACGCTCATCTTCTTCCTGGGGAAAGAGGAAAAAAAAAACAATAATAAACACTAAGAGGTTTATAATATCAGAACTCTTAAAAATATTATTTTTGCTAAACAAGATAAATCAGGAGATGCAGGTAATCCAAGATGGGCTGGCTATATTTACGTAAAGGACACTGAAATATTTGTCTTTTGCTACAAAAGACTGCAAGCCTCTTTTGAAAAAGAGCACTTTCGAAAAAAGGCGTTATTCCTCGTAAAACGAGGTTTTCCACGGTTGAAAAAACTGCCGCGGTCTTTCGATTTACTTTAAAAAAAAAACACAGCAGAATTCTAGATGCAGGGGAAGTTTTTTTGAAAAAAGACCACTTTTAAAAAAAAAAAAAACCCTGTAGCCTACACACACCCTTTGTGAAACACCATATTTAGTTTTAAAATTGTGGTACGGGGGCAAGGAAATCACATGTCTCGGTTTCCAAAAGTGAGTACAGGTTGAATCGCTAAAATCTGGGACTCTCTGGTTATGTAACATCCATGGTCCAAAGGGATGGCCAGATTCAAGAGCTGGGCTGGTGGTGTGGAGCACAGCCCCAGTGATAGTGGGGCTGCCGTCTTAGGGAGAACAGCTCCTGGCTGGGGTTGGCAGCAGGGAACGCAACCCCACCGGGGAATGCAGCCCCAGCAACAGTGGGACCGGCACAGTGGCCAGTACCCGGGAGCCCGGACTGGAGCCTGGAAGTGCATCCTGGTCTGGCAGCGAGAGCACAGCCCCATCCGGGGTCAGTGTGCTGGGAATACAGTCCAGGCCCTGGCTGGGAAGCACAGCCCCAGCAGGGCTGGAGGTAGTGGGTCTATGAAGGAGAGCAGGGATGATAGCTGGGAGGGGAGCCTCGATCTCCCCTGGTCTGGCAAACTGTAATTCGGGATGATGGTCCCGCCTGTTGTAATTTCGGTGCCTCAATTTCAGGGTGCCCAAACTGAAACTTAAAGAAGTCAGGGGAAGAACCTCAGCTGAGATAAATTTTCATAATTTTCAAGGGGTTGGCACCCTCTGAAAATCAAGTTCCCTTAAGAAATATCAAGTTGGGGAGCCCAAAACTGAGGGGAAGGGCAAAATCACATGTAACTTAAAAAGTAAAAATCTAGGCCTAGACTCTTTACAATGCCTCTAATATTTAAAGTAATGTATCGAGGGATTAAATTCATGTGGAAAAAAATGACAAAAAGTGAAGCCTGTGCTAAGAAGGAGCGAAAGTGGAATGGCAGTTACAAACAGCTCAAGAAGGGAGGTTGTTTGTAACTGAAAATTGGGTAATTCTGAACAAAATGTTGTGTTTCTTCTTTCAAAGTTAACAACAGCTCCTTGACTTAATACCCGCTTTCAAACTTTACTGTGAGGAAGAAAAATGCTGTTTTTTAACCATTTTAATTTAAATGAAAGAAGCATAGAAACCGTTTCCTTGTCAAATCTTTTTTAAACTTTCCCTTCATTTTGAGTAGTTGACATCTGGCAGTCGTGTGTGGTGCAATATTTTTGTGTCTATTCTGCCTCACGGTGCACTTCTGATTTCAAATGAGAAGTGTGTGGTTGAGGAAGTAGTGTGTAACTCTTGTACTCTAAACTGTGAGGTTCTCCTGCAGGAGTATTAAAGGAACTACAGGTTGGATCTCCTTGGTCCGGTTCCCTCAGGAACTGACCAGTCCCAGACAAGGGAGTTTTCTGAACCAGGGAAGGTCTGGGGTTGGAGGTGCCAGTCTCTTTGCTGGGCTCCTCTCCCCAGCTATCTGGAACCACTACCCTAGGCCCCCTGGATATGGCAGCCCTGCAGGCTCCACAACCCCATGAGCTCTGGTGGCCCTGGCAGCCCCCCCAGCCCTGCAAGCTCTGGCAGTGGCCCTGTGGGCTCTCGCAGCCCTTCTGGTGCTCGTGGCCCCACGAGCTGAGGGCTCTTCAGCCTCCCCCTTCCCAGCTCCGCAGGCTGCGAGATTTGCTTCCTCCCCACCAGGCTACAGCACCCCGCTAGCTTCCCAGCCTGGCCGGCTGAGGTCTCTGATGCCCTGTGGGCTCCACTGCCCCATGGGCCCCACTGGCTAGCTCTGCTCCCAGCTCCCGGCAGTCTCTGTGCTGGGACTCTCTAGCCCAACAACATCCGTGGTCCTGCCAGGGTTTATGCACCTTTTGTAATTGCATTGACACATACTTGAAAACATTCTTCCTGTAGAATATTGTTTGCTCTGAAATATACTTACATCGTATCTTCTTTCAGGTGCCCAGCCTGGCCTAAAATCAAGGAGGTGGAGAAACCAAACACAGATGTTAGGTGTAGAAAGTGGGAATGAATGAGACTCTAGACCTGTGTGCAGTGTCTGTATTGTCCATGGGGACGTAAGCTACTGTCAGTTTTTGCAGGTATAAACACATCGGGGAATCAGTTCTAATCAGCAATTTCTTTTGCTCATTTAGGTAAAAAAAACCCAAACCCTGATTTGCAGCTAGTAGAAGACACTTGGATGTCTAAACCCTGATCCCGTAATGTGCTTTCTGGAGATTCTGGGATCCATCTGTGTGGAGTTTATTGCATGGCTGGAGCATAACTGACGGTTATTTCAAATGAAAGATTGCACCTGCTGCCTTCCTCGTACTGACATTGAGTTTGAATAGCTGGCCTTAAACTTCAGATGAATGATGAAAACATTAATTGCTCCCATGGAACCCATAGCTACACTGTTGTGGCTGAGGGTTGGCTTCTATGAAGATATCTGGCCCCTTCCTCGCATTTTGACTGCTAGTTGCCTAGCAGATCTTGTGGTATGCTTCTTTTATTTGGTTACAGCCCTATCCAGAAGCTAAGAAAGGCTGTTCAGCTCTTGCTATAGAAAGGTTTTGCCACGAATTCAGGGATTTTCAGGGTGCCAGGCCTGGCTTAGTTGTGGGAAATACATGAAAGCCGCCTCCCTCCCTCATTATAAAAGGGATGTGGAAATAGGGGTTGAGTTTGGCCATAAGGATACTGAGAAAAAAGTTTTCTGGGAAGATGGCTAGGGCTGACAGGAGACTCACGAATGACATTCCTCTTTCTTTCTGGATTATGGCTGTAGTGAGATGTATTTTGGGCCTTATTTTTGGCCTTTCGGATGAGGCAAACCCTGTTGTATTTGGCTTTTAAAAAGGCAGGGCTTTTTCACATTACAATAAAGCGGGTATCTTTAGACAGCGGTGTCTCGCCTGACACATACATTATATTTTCCAAATCGTTGTGGGGAATTGTGAAATATGGTTGTGTTAATATTTAAAAACAAATGTTTACTTTGCAGGTGATGGCTTCCTTCCCGAGACTGGATTGCCTCTCTCATATTTATCTGCTGACGGTATGGGAGGCTTTTGTATCTTTGCTAACTGTTCTCCTAGAGACCTAAACAAAAGAGGACATGGTGTAACAAAGGTCAATGCTTTTTAGAGCTTCTTTGATTACACTCAGGGGCGGCCTGTGAGTATAGGATGACTCGGCCGTCGCCTAGGGCGCTGTGTTAAATGGGGCGCCCAGTGATGATGTCACGCCATTGAGGGCTGTGGAGGCGGGGGCACCGATCACGCATTCCATCTGAGGTGCGAGGGTGCCGATTGCACATTCCGCCTGAGGTGCGGGGGTGCCAATTGCGCATTCCGCCTGGGGCGCCAGCTGCCCCCTGATAACACTGATGGTGTCTGACCCCAGAGACTTAATGTCTTACCTTAACTGTGGTGCCATGGGCTGTTAAAAAGCAAAGAAGAGTTACAAGAACTTATAAATACGTAACATCCAGGTAGAATAAGACCTTATAAGTAAGTAAGGTCCACATAGAATAAGAAGCAAATAAATGTCCTCTTACCTTATCAGGAAACACTGCCCTCTTTCCTGAAAAGAATAAATAACAAAACTTGAAAAACCCCAAAGCCTTAGGTAATTCATTATAAGTTCTGGAGACTCACCAGATCTGGCTTTGAAACCTTGTTTATTGCAAAATGAACATAGGATAAATAAGTACTGACCTGGTCCCGGGCTGTCTCTTTCAAACGGTGGCCCAGAACGATCCAGTGGGGGTTTTGTGCGTCTGTCTATAGAAGGCGCAGGGGCTAAACATGAATACGGTGTGAAATATTGTGTTAATTCAATGTAAGACACATTTATATTTTTATTATATCTGTCATGACCTGGCAGCCCTTCTTGGAATTATAAGCAACACAATTAAACTCATAAATAGTCAAGCTTGGCTGAATTTGGTGTTTGCTTTTTTGAAATGCTGATGGACAATATCACAGTTTTAAAGCATTTTAAAATATTTTATTGATTTACATTTTCAGTTGCACAAAATGATGGGGGGAGATTATCGGACAACCAACAGGGCCAAACTAATTATTTAATGATGGCAAGATATTAGGATTCCAAAAAATTAAAGCGTTGTCATCATTAAAAAACAAATTGTCAAAATATACAAAATAAATATCCTTAAATCTAACTAAATTCTTAGACAAAATACGAAAAAAAAAATTCTACTTATCTGTAAATTTTGATTATTATTGGAAATATATTTTCATTGTTTGGGGAAGCCAGCAAAGGATTTTTAATGGGGTTTGTCTACTCGACACAAGGCCTGAAGACATTAAGGTGACCAGGTAGGCCAACTAACTGCACCTAGAGAAGGAACCAGGGAGCTAGGAATAATGAGAGACAAGGTCTAGCTGGGCAGAGGCAGGAGGCATCTGAATGAAGCCCAGAAGCTGCAGCTGGGTTGTGGGGAAGTTGTCTGCAGTGACTTCCTGTAAGGACGGTTTCTGGACTGGCAAACCTGGCAGGGAGCCAGAAAGATGAGAGAAAGCATAGGGGGAAAGCAAGCTGTGGGATAGGGCACACCTTGGCTGCTGATGAGAGGGCCCCTGGGCTAGAACCTGGAGTAGAAGGCGTAATTGTGTTCTCCTATGTAAAACTGAGCAAGTGGCACAGTCCAGGCAGTGGAGAGTGGTCTGTCTTGGCCATTTCATGTTGAAAGACTTTGCTACCCCAGAAAGAGGAAACGGCTGAGCGACCTGGCCAAAGGGTCATGAAGGAGAAAGAAGCAGTAGTTCCAGGAGCCAGAGAGTAGGACACCACATCCAGCAGTGAGTAGGACACCCATCACAGGGGATAGAAACACTAACTTAGCACTAGCTGGAGACCACACAAATATGCAGTACGCCATAGTTTTTTTAAAAAGAGACCAATATTTTCACTTACGTTTTAAAGGTTTTGCACTTTTATCTCTATTCACGTCATTATTGCTGGACGGGGGAGGGTAAGGTGGCATCTAAAAAGAAATGGTTTTACAAATGATTGAAGTCTCTCTGTGTACAGAGCTCAAGGATTTTCATCTTCTCCTCTGGGGTCACTCAACACATCACAAAAGCCACAGTTGTCAAGCTGTGCATCTGTTAGAGCACAAAGGGCCATTAGGATCCCCACCCCACGCCTTGCAGAATAACGTCTAGGTGAAAGGCCTTTTCTTGACACATAACATTGGTTCTGTCAATTCTCTGCCCCTTTACAGGGAACCTCTAGCACGTAATTCTTTTCAGGGGAGGTTGGGAACATGCCGGCAGCAGGAGGGAGGAGTAGCTGGAATGGATATGGTGATGCAGAGTTTGGTGCATATAAATTCAAGGTCAAAAGTGATGAGCAGATCAGGAAGAGCCCGGGAGCACAGGTTTGCATTAAGAAGAGAGCTACTGTGCCAGGGGCTGTCCAGTTCTTCATGGAAAGACTAGCGCAAGGAGAGGACCACGTAGCTGAGTAGCTCATGAAAATGATGAAGGTGACTGCGCTTAAGCCCGTGTTTCCTCAGAGGCACCTATTCTTGACCCAGTTTCTTTCTATGGCCTTCCAAGTAATGGAGGAGAGAAATACAGCAGACTTCATACTATGCAGTGGGGAGCTCTGTGCTTACTGATTAACTTTACTTGTATTCATGTATAGCTTTCATACTCTGTTGTGCTGGAATACGGGAACTTTGCAGAGTGAGCTCAAGGGCTTACAGAATCAAAGCCTTTGGCCATGCCTTCACTAAACAGAAGATCAACGCTATGGCAATCAATCTTCCGGAGTTCAATTTAGTAAGTCTAGTTAAGACTTGCTAAATCAAACTCAGAGGGTGCCCCCACCAGTGTCCAGTAGTCCTGTTTCTGCAAGGAGTAAGGGAAGCTGATGTGAGCATTTGCTCCCATTAGTCTCCTGCTATGGGACGGCAGGGAAACTCAAAACAAGGTACATTGACTCCAGCTATGTAATTAACGTAGTCGGAGTTGCGTATCTTGATTCAATGTTACCTTTTAGTGTAGACCTGGCCTTAATCTGCCAAATTAGGGAATGTGTGGGTCTATTCACCTTATAGGTATTGATGAATTCTGAATGTATCTAAGAAGACCATCCAGACTTCAGTAAAGGACAATGATGACACTTTTTTTTCCTTAACTTTGCTCACTGCCTTGGGTGAATCAGTTTTGTGCTCTGACCTCTTCATCTCATCCAACACCAGACCCTTAATCTTTCCACCACCAGGGAGTGCTGCCTCATTCAATGGGACTGCCCATAAGACAGAGGGTTTGCAAGATCGATCTTTTTCACATTGCTCCAGTGACAGCTTTCCCCAAGGGAAGGTGTTCAAAGGTGAGTATTTGTTGGTAAATCATCATTAATTGCCAGTATACCTGGCCACATTGCAATATAGAAACCATTTCTATATGGCTGTGTCTAGACTGGCAAGTTTTTCCGTAAAATCAGCCACTTTTATGGAAAAACTTGCTAGCTGTCTACACTGGCCGCTTGAATTTCCGGAAAAGCACTGACGATCTCATGTAAGATCGTCAGTGCTTTTCCGGAAATACTATGCTGCTCCCATTCGGGCAAAAGTCTTTTTCCGAAAGACTTTTGTGCAAAAAGGCCCGTGTAGACAGCACAGTACTGTTTTCCGCAAAAAAGCCCCGATCGCGAAAATGGCGATCGGGGCTTTTTTGTGGAAAACTGCGTCTAGATTGGCCATGGATTCTTTTCTGCAAAAAGTGCTTTTGCGGAAAAGCATCCTGCCAATCTAGACGTGCTTTTCCGAAAATGCTTTTAATGGAAAACTTTTCCGTTAAAAGCATTTCCAGAAAATCATGCCAGTCTAGACGTAGCCTATGTGTGTTCCACAAAAAGTCATCATTTTAGCACACATGAATTACTTTTGTAGCACAAATAGTTTCTCTCTACTTCAACATACACAATCATTATGTTGAATATGATGTTATATGTGGGCCTTCTAGGAGATGATGCCAAAGGAAAACAAATAAATATTCTTTAAGAAAGGAAACATACAGGAGTGCCTCTGCCCGCATATGGTGCTGCTCCTGGGGATGGGCCAGGTCGCTGAGGTGGAATAGGAGGCTGGGGAGATGGTCTAGCATTTGTGGGTCTATCTAAAAAAAAGAAAAGAAAAATCACATACTGAACAATTCTGCACACACAAAAGGTTATTTTCTTTTTCGTTAGATCTTTATTCTGAAGTTTAGTTTAAAATGACGGCATTTTACATTACACGAAGAATCACTTTTTGCTGTGTTACTTCGCTGTAACTCCATAGTGACTCTGTCATCAATTCTTGTATGTTCTGTGTGCTTTTTATGCCCCACAACTTGAATTTCACTTTGGCATTGCATGTACCCACAGCGAGAGGGCTCAGTTCTCTGTTGACCTGCACTTTATGTATTCCTTCCCACCACTGCTAAGTGCATATCAAAAACTCCGGTCCAGGTGGTAATGTTTGCCCTGAGGTAAATGACTACACAGGTGTAGCCTAATGGAGAACCAGGTCTACAAAATTATAGACTTATGCAGAATATGGTCTGGGACCAAGTCAACTCCACACACAAAGGCTACGTCTACCCTGGCATGATTTTCCGAAAGTGCTTTTAACGGAAAACTTTTCCATTAAAAGCATTTTCGGAAAAGCACGTCTAGATTGGCAGGATGCTTTTCCGCAAAAGCACTTTTTGTGGAAAAGTGTCTGTGGCCAATCTAGACGCGGTTTTCCGCAAAAAAGCCCCGATCACCATTTTCGTGATTGGGACTTTTTTGCGGAAAACACTACTGTGCTGTCGACACTGGCCCTTTTGCGCAAAAGTCTTTCGAAAAAAGACTTTTGCCCAAATGGGAGCAGCATAGTATTTCCGGAAAATCACCAATGATCTTACATGAGATCGTGAGTGCTTTTACGGAAATTCAAGCGGCCAGTGTAGACAGCTGGCAAGTTTTTCCGGAAAAGTGGCTGATTTTGCGGAAAAACTTGCCAGTCTAGACACAGCCAAGTGGTATAAAGTTACAGTGAAAATAGGTATAAGGATGGTATCTTGCACTAGTTACATAGTGTAAAACCAAACTAAATAGAAGAAAATGTGTATTTATCTTGATGTGGATCCCAGACTAAGGTCCCAGTCTTGTTCCTACTGAAGAAAAGGGCAAAATTCAGTAACATAGTTTTTATTAAGTGACCCAAACTTCTGGGATCTTTCTTTTTATAACTCTTTTTTTTAGCATGTGCTTAACTTAGCATGTATATTCCATAATACTGCTCATGGGTTTTGCCTACAACAAATAAGGCCTCTATCCAGCAAAGTAATCTCCTAAGCTGTTCCTTCAGTATGCCTACACATTAACCTGGTCAGACTAGAAGTGTAATGCTTTCTCTGTCTCTTTATCTGGCAGTATCAGAAGGCATTGCAGTTTCCACGAATGTGTATTTTTCAATGAAAAAACCCTCCCATTTATTTAGAAACTTCCCAGACAGGACTGGTGAAAGGCTCTATAGTCAGTTCCCTAAAACAGCTTGCCCTTTCCAAATTACATTTTGCAATAGTTACCTATGTAGTCTGTGTTACTTGGAATTGACTTGGCAGGAAAGATGACATTATGGGGGGCTGTGTCATTATTGGACGGAGGAGGTTCATAATCATCACTCTCATGTCCTGGTTCATCGGTTGGTGATTCATAGTCAGCATCATTGTCCTGTTCGTCATCTGGGCTTTCATAATCATCTTCTTCCTGCCATCCGCAAGTGAAAAAACAGACAGTGATTAGATACCACAGAATACAATGAGCTTGTTTTTTTAAAATATATATAGATTGTAGTGTCTTTCATTTTGTGGCATATTAAATTGTATCGCCAGCACTTAGGGGATTGTTTCATCCCTTCATCAAACGCAGTGATGGAGCATCTCATGATTAAACAGAGCATAACACTACCCCGCTTAAAGAAAATGGCAAGGGATGGACAGGACTTCAGTTTTATATCTCATCCAATAGATGGCAGCAGGTGCCCCTAAGCACTGCACCAGGGCAATCCTTCAGTGGTGCAGCCTTCCTTAAAGCTCCTTCCTGCAAAAGCGAGGCTTTGGTGGGGGCTTTGTAGCCCTTAATGCAGGGAATTTCTAGCCCTTAATGTGTGTGGGTTTGACCCAGCTCGAGTAGGTATGGCTTGTGAGATCAGATAATATTATTGTGCAAGGTTTTACTACTTCAGCACACCACTTTTACAGAAACTTGTCCCTGATCTGTAAATGGTGTCATAATTCACTGTAATTTCTCCCCAGCCCAGAAGGTGAAAGTTTCAAAAATACTGCGAATTCAGCTAATGCTGCTCCAACTGAAGTCCATGATAGTCATTGATTTCAAGGAAATAGAATTAGACCAGAACTGATGGCTATTGGAAACTCCCAGAACATCCTTTTCTTCCCCTTCTGCTTGGAGTGCATAACACAGAGAGGGCACATCTACACTGCAGGGCAAATGTCGAATTAAGCTACACAACTTCAGCCTCGTCAGTGGCATAGTTGAAGTCAAAATAGCTTACTTCGGCTTTTGGCACTGTCTACACCGCAGGAAATAAGAGGGAGAACACTCTTCCTTCAACTTCCCTTACCCTCATGAAATGAGCATTACAGAAGTCGGAGTAAGAATCTGCCATCTTGAAATTATTTTGTAGTAACAGCTTGCTGTGTAGATGCGCACTTTGTTATTTCAAAAAAATGCTGCAGTGTAGAAGTACCTGAACTGATGGAGTGAGGTAACAAATTATCTACTTTGAGTTTTAAGTGATCTAAAACATGGTTCTTACAAATGAAGACCAGCCTTCTTCCTCTTCGTCACAGCCTCCTGTGTGAGGAAACAGAACCATGACTCGTTACCACATGTTGGCTTCAGAGTACCAAAGCTTCATCAGGTAAAATGGCACTACGTGTCACAAAAAGTCACCAACCATCAGAGCATCACAATAGCAGGCCAGGGTTAGCCATGGGGAAAATCACCAATTGTTCCATTTGGTGCTGCAGTAAAATTGCGGAATTCCCCCAGGGTGGCAGATTGTCCAAGGAGTAGGATGCGTCCAACTCCCATGGCAGCCAACAGGAATTATGTGCACCCATTATTGATGTCACCTTCCAGTTGAAGGGTATTAGTGGAACATCCTTTGCATATCAGGATTTCTGCTGTGATTGAGGCTATTCCACACTGCCAAGTTTTTCACCAAAAATTATTCCACTTTTATTAAACTGCTGTTACATGTCCACACCCTACTCCTTGTGTCACTGCACCACATCCTCATTAGCAGCTCTTGCAATGACAAAGGGAGCAGTGCACTGTAGTAGCTATCCCATGGTTCAACTAGCCACAGGGTGCTTTTGGGATGGGTTTGTGGTGCCTCATGAGTGGGGCCGTCCTTATCTATATCTTTGTAGGGGACCCAAAAATGTGGAACACCAGTGGGTCTTCATGTCCACCCATCTACCTCTTCTATGGCTCTGTTCCTCCAGAGAGGATCTAGTTAACTTAGAAATTAAAAAGCCCACCAGACCTATTAGTAGAACATTGAACCTATGAAAGAGCCGTTCAAGTGGTAATGAAGCCACTTATCAGGCATTTGCTGCATTTATTATCAGTTGCTGCATTTATTGTATTAGCCTATGACCCGGTCTATACTATGGGGGAAGGTTGGCTTAAGGTAAGCAATTTCAGTTACGTAAATAACATAGTTGGAGTCATCGTACCATAAGCCAAACTTCAGCGCCGTTCCCACAACGGGAGGATGATGAGGGAAATGCTCCCAGGGCCAACAGGAACACCCTCAGTGTTTGATTTAGTGGGTCTAGCAGAGACGCGCTAAATCAAACACTGGAAGATCAACTGCCTCAGCGTCAGTCTCTCCACAAGTCTAGATATGGCCTACAAGACCTTAGGGTGTGTCTAGACTACAGAGTTTTGTCGACAAAAGTGGACTTTTGTCGACAAAACTATACCTGTGTCTACACTACCACTGAGTTCTGTCGACATAACGTCGACAGAACTCAGCAGTTTTGTCGACGCTGGTAAACCTCATTTTACGAGGCATAACACCTTTTGTCGACAGAGTTCTGTCGACAGAAGGTGTTATTGCATCTAGGGTTGTGTCTAAACTACAGGGTTTTGTTGACAAAGCAGCTTGCTTTGTCGACAGAACTGGCTGTAGTCTAGACGCTCTTTGTCGACAGAAGCTTTGTCGACAGTATCTGTCGACAAAACTTCTGTCGACAAAAGCCTGTAGTCTAGACGTACCCTCAGTTTAAAATCCCCTTTAAAAACCTTTCATTAGTTATGGGGCTGAAGACTAATCATGTCACTAAAAAGAGTCATCATCACTCCCCACACTCCTCAGGCTGTCATCGGGAACAGGAGTGCCAGTTTAGTTGTACTACATAGGGCCCCATAAATCCTACAGCCATTCCTGCCAGTGGGACAGGTACAGCACCCCATGATTCTGGTCTCCCAATCCCATTGTTCCATGGCCATCCTACGAGATTGCCAAGTGCTTTTCAACTGAAGCGTGGGGAGGGGGAGAAGGTGGGTGTCTGACAGGGACCTAGTGTGTATGGGGGAAGAGGGAGAGACAGTGTGTCGGGGCAGAGTGAGTGTGTTGGTATGTTGTCTCCTCAGTTCAGACAGCTGCCAGAAGCAACCTGTACTGGGGTGGTGGGGGGCGGAAGGGACACCCCAACATCAGCTTCCCTCTCTGTCTCTGCACAGCACAGAGCGTCTCTCTCTCTCTTTCACATGCACACAAGCACATCCACCTCTGCCTGTCTGTAGGGTGTGTCTACGTTACAAAAAACCTTCCACACCCTATGTGGTGAGTGGGGCAGGGTGGAGATGACCCCTGCTGTCACTGCACCAGTCCCCTGTGATCCTCTGGTCCCTCCCATCCGTAAGACGGTTCGGGCAGCCGCTGTGGGGTCCCCGAAGGTGAGGAGGCTTGGGGCAGTACATCCTGTGGCTTTGTGCTCAACTGCCAGTGTCGATAAAGCTTTCGTGCGGAGATAGCAGGAGCATTCCACCTTCGTGATTTGCTCTTTGTTTCCCAGAGCAGACACTGCAGGCATTTGGCAATCTCGTGATTGGCTCTCTGGCGGCCAATCACACCACTTGGACAACCGCGCAAAGAGCCTTATCACTCTCCTGCAGGTGATTCTATTGCAGCGCTGCAACCGAAGAGTTTTGTCACAAAAACTGGTTTTGCTGTGTGCACACTTCTCCTCAGGGCCACCAGTGTGGGTGGGTGGGAAGAGGGCAGCTGCCTCCAGGTCAGGTTGATTTAAAAAGGCCTGGGTCTCCTGGCCAATGCTGCCACTACCTCAGCCGTGGCAGCAGCTGGTGCCCCCGCCCTTTATATTGCCACTGGAGCCTTTGGTGGAGCATGCGCTATGGCCCTGGCAGCACAGAAGGTTGGCTGGGAAAGGCTAGCCCCAACCCCACATCTTCCTCCTGAGGCTCCACCGCTTTCAGGGATCCAGTTCCAGCTCCCCCCATGGCCTGGCAAAGACTCTTGTCAGCCCTAATTCTGCTTGCTTCACTACCAAAAGCTGCCTTTTGGAGAAAAATCTTGGCAGGGTAAACCAGGCCTAAGATGTGTCCTTCCCTCCCAAATGTAAATGCTAGTTGAAGCATAAAGAATTTAGAATTGACTCAGCTGTTAACCTCCTGTTTCAGGCTTTCTCTTGTTGCTACTATGGAAAGTCTGTGTGCAGATATGGGCAATTTTTTCCCCAAATAGTTCTTTTTCAACTGAAAAGCATTTTTGGAGTCTCTGTAAGAATTTGTGTATTCAGGTCCAAGTTGACAAATGGTTTTGGCTGAAGAAAAACTTGCTTTTTCCTAAACATCAGTGTTTTAGTTCAATCATGTTGAATTTCCCCCTCCCCCAAAAGTAGTGTTTTACATTCAGATTATCCAATTTTTAAAGAGGCTGAAAAACATCCAATGGTCAAATTGAAGGGGAAAAAACTCAGAGAAAGGCATTTTGTGTCAACAACATGAATTTTGACTTTTTTAGTCACCAACAATTTTAAAAAAATTGGTTTCCATTCAGATCTGAATTTTTTTTTTCTGGATTTTTCAATTTGATCTCTGAGCTAAACAGTCCATTCTTGGCTCAATTCTAATGATGTGGGTTTTCAATCCATTTTAATAGGGCCAATGGGGGAGTATTAATCTGTGACAGTGCAGCTGCTCGTGGCCCAGCTAGTACAATGTTTAAAGTGGAAGCCCAGTGCAGGGAAGCCATGTGGCAGCTGCTTATTCCATGATGAAATCTAGCAGGAAAGGGGGAAAGACATTGTGCCTTAGAGGTTCAATCGCCACATGGATGCTCCCAGATTGCATCTGTCTCTCCACTTCCCTCCTCCGCCATTGTTCCTCTACCCCCCACTATTTGAACATCTTTTGCTAGTGCTTCAATTTGATATTTCTCCTTTCATTCTCTCTCTCAGTCCTTGTGCTCTCTTGACTTCCTCTTTTTTCTTGCTCTTGGTCCAGTCATTTTCATAGAATCCTAGGGCCAGAAGAGACCTCAGGAGGTCATCAAGTCCAGCCCCCTGCCCAAAGCAGGACCAATCCCAACTAAATCAACCCAGCCAAGGCTTTGTCAAGCCGAGACTTAAAAACCTCTAGGGATTTTAAAAACCTCTAGAGATTCCACCACCTCCCTATGGAACCCATTCCAGTGCCTTTCCATTCTCCTAGTGAAATAGTTTTTCCTAATATCAAACCTAGACCTTCGTCACTGTAACTTGAGCCCATTGCTTCTTGTTCTGCCATCTGTCACTACTGAGAACAGGCTTCTCTCCATCCTCTTTGGAACCCCCCTTCAGGAAGTTGAAGGCTGCTCTCAAATCCCCCCTCACTCTTCTTTTCTATAGACTAAATAAGCCCAAATCCCTCAGTCTTTCCTTATAGGTCATGTGCTCCAGCCCCCTAATTATTTTGGTCACCCTCCACTGGATCCTCTCCAAAGCATCCACATCCTTTCTATAGTGAGGGGCCCAGAACTGGACACAATCCTCCAGATGTGTCCTCACCAGAGCCGAATAAAGGTGAATAATCACTTCTCTAGATCTGCTGGAAATTCTCTTCCTAATGCAGCCTAATATGCCATTAGCCTTCTTGGCTACGAGGGCACACTGTTGACTCATATCCAGCTTCTCATCCACTGTAATCCCCAGGTTCTTTTCTGTTGATCCCCAGCCTGTAACAATGTATTTTCCCTTCTTCTCACCTCCCGCTTTTTTACTTTCCTCTTTCTCCCAAGAGCTTTCCATACCTTCCACTTCTTCTTTCCTCACTGTCTGCTTTTTCTCACTCTCTCCTCTGTCTATTAAGCCCTGCAGTTCTAGGGTTGGGAGCCAGCAGGAGGAGAGCTCCTAGGATAATGTGTAGGCAAGGGGAAATTTGGAACATCCTCCAAGAAAACATATGCAAGGACTTTTCTGGCCCAACTGTATCCGCTTACAGAACCTTTTTTCACTCAATCAAGGAACCTTGTTGAATTAATGATCCTTGTTTGGTAAAAGACACAACCAACGCAGTTCTAATAAGAGATTGTGTCACTCTGCACTTACCACACCCACATCCTGCTAGCACATGCTACTCCCATTTACCATCTACGCTAGCCTCCGACATTTGGAGCTGAGGGTTTCTGATGTGCCCATCTCTAATACCAACAATAATTCAGCTCATTAACTGGTTATTAACCCTGGAAGATCTGGACAGATCTATGATCCAAGTTGAATTACTTCTATCCATTATAAACTTAAACTCAAGGTAGATGAGAAAAGTTTGAAGATCTACGAGCATAAACATTTACAAAAGAATGTCTGAGTGAATACGGTCAGACAGTGATGAATGTAAATAAATAAGGCAAGCAGAGAATCAAGGTTTTAACCTTTTTAAAAAAGTATGTATCTTTAGATAGACAGCAAGTATGTGTTTACCTGTATTGTCAGCAAACTTCTGCGTCTGGGACCTGTTATGACATTACAAAGTTTGTTTTTCAAATTTTAATTAGTATGAACTAAATACATTTACATGTAGTAAAACCCGTCGCATAATTATAATTGAAGGTATTCTTCCATTAGACAAGTCAATATGATTTTTGACTCGCTTCTCTTTGCCAAAAAGCTAAACATAAACCGCCTGCAGTTTCATAAGCATGATCCTAATCCAGGCTAGAATCATTTGAAGAAGTGTAATGCATATTAGACAAACGGTATGTGTGTGTGAGAGAGAAAAAACATTTGAAAAGTTTGGTCATCTCACTTTCTAGCCTTCTTCTATGTGGCCTCAGTCCTACACACATCCGTGAATATTTTTAACTGAGTATTTCTATTGAAGGTCATGGACTGTTATACAGTCAAGTATATAACTATAATCTAGTTGTATATAACTATAATGTATATACAACTATAATGTATATAACTATAATGTATAAGTATACAACTATAATCTAGTTGTACTTAATTTTGATCCAGTTTGGCTAAAATCTCCACAGATTTATGTAACCCACATACCTACTGACTTTTAGCTCAAGGACCCAGGCTCAGTTCTGCCTGATGGCGATACACTTGCACATGTGGTTCATTACACATATACAAAGTGGAAGTAAAACCATGCTACTCAGTTGGTGACGTTTTATGGTCATTTTGCACCAGTGGAGATTATTAGAAAAGTTGTAGGGCAATAGGAAGCCAGGAACTCCAAATGTGTGTTAAACTATGTGTTTTGGCAATGACCAGTGCTTTTTGCTAATTTCAGTCAAGGTTTATAGGACAAATAATTGGGTTATTATTAGTGGTTTATGTTTACATTATGCTGCATCATCTAAGAGGGCTCTGTATCCTGGGCTACTCACTTCAGCTGGGAAATGGGAGGGAGACACTAACATGCAAGGTTCATGGGGTTAATTTGGGGATTAATGGGTCCAGTGTGAAGTCTGCAACTACTGTTTTAGCTATTGTAGTATGGTAGTTATGTTTTTATAGTAATTCTCCTTTCATTGTAACTCCTCTGGTACACAAGGCTTCCCAAATGGCCCATTAAGAGACTTTCTCCAAACTGTCTCCATCCCAAGAATCATGCTGTGGATGTTTAGGGACTGGCAACTAGAAAAATAAAATCAGAGAGAAACTCAACCAAATTTTTCATAGTGGCTGAGAATTTTTTCAGAGCTCCATAGACCATTTTGATAAATAATATATTTAAAAATAAGGGGCAATTTCTAAGTCAACTTAGAAAAATCTCAAGTAATAAAGACCAAGAGCTCCTATATTTTATTAAAATAGAATATAGAACCTTATTATATTTATCTTTGTTAATTAGTGAACCGGCTGATTCACATTAAAAAATATTTAAAATAAATCTAAAGCAGTCTCATGCCTTTTCTGACAAAAAATGTATTATCAACATCTAGAGAATGTTTATTATCAACATCTAGTCTTCTATTAAGGTTTTCTTAATTTTATCCCTCTAAAATGTAGTATACCGATATTCATTTATTCATATATTATGAATTATTGTAAGTTTTATTCTGTATTATTCCTTACAATATTTGGTCTTTAAAGCACAGCACTGGTAGTATTATTAATAGTTCTAATATTAATGTTAACAATAATAAATACTTGTAATTAGATTAACTTGTCAAAATATGGCTGAGTGTTGCAAACAATTATGTACATGAATAAGTTTGCTCCCATGAGTTGCGTGACTGAATTCAAATGGATTACTCAATGAGTAAAGTACAGTATCTTGTTTGGAAGTAATTGTAATTTTGGATTCTTCGTGAGGTTCTGCTGCATGAACATGATTAACAGTAGAAAGAATATATTGGAATGCCTTTTCATTGTCCTTTCTGAAACTTATTTTTGCTGTTAAATAACACTGGAAACCTTCTGTTAGCTGAAATGGACAATTATCCTGAAAGATTTTGTCTTAATAGTTTGCAAGACACAAAAAGGATTGAAAGGTTTACCTACCTTTTTGGGAAGAAACTCATTCTTCCTTCATTCCTGTTGATTTCTTGACTTAACTTACTTACAATTCTGTTTAAAATAAAACAAGAAAAACCCCACTGCATTAAACAAAAATGTCTTAACACTTGCCTCCCGCAGCCATTCCTGTGACTCAGTAGCATAGGTTGGCACTGAGGGTGTGTCTACACAACAGCGTTATTTCAGAATAAGGGACGTTATTCTGAAATAACAATGCAAGCGTCTACAGAGCAATTCTGTTATTTAGAAATACAATTGAAATAAAGGACGGCTTATTCCATCTTCTGGAATTCTCACTCCACCAGGAATTGGACTTATTCCAAAATAACTATTTTGGAATAGCGGTAGTGCAGACGCTCCACTGCTGCTATTTCGAAATAGCTCCTCCCCAGGCCATTCAAAGTAATTACTCCCCAGTGCCTCCTAGGGCTCTAAATCGAGGTAGTGCATCCACATTACGGGATCCTGCCTCAGACTAATTTCGAGGCTTCCCTGTAGTGTATTTCTTCCGGAATAGCTTCTTTCAAAATAAGTGTGCAGCGTAGATGTACCCAGAGAGATGATGCTGGACATGAAAAAGCCATGACACAATATGTATGTACATTAGTAAATAATTAAGATACTCTAAGACAGACTTATGTAGACAGGGTAAGAACAGCAATTTCTGTGTATAGCTCTATTTCTCTAATGCTTCCAGGCCCATTCTGGATTATATTAGTTCTTAATGTAAGTAAGTAACTTCTGTTTTGTACTAACTCTCAGACTAAGTCTGATATGATATTTAGATATCTGTCTGTAGCAGAGTTGACACCCATGCTGTGCCTCTGGGCAAGATTGGGGGGAGGGGCATGGCACTATGCTCCCAGAAGGGGCGGGGTCTTGGGTGGAAGGGGCGTGGCCAAAGCAGCCAGCTCTCAGCGCAACCCGAAACAAGGTACACCCCTGCCAGTGCTTAGCATGCGTGGCATGTGCTGCGTGGCACTCAGGTGGCAATTGAAAGGGCTTGGTGTTCCAGGAGCAGTGGCGGCCGGGAGACCCTGGCCCTTTTGAATCACCAGACGCTGGGGATATTGCTTCCTTTGCCCCGCCCCCATCCGCAGGCCTGCCTGTCTGCCACTTTTTGAAGGGCTGCTCCCTAATAATTACCACATGCAAGAGTGTATCTCTGGGTTTCCAGCGCCTGGGAAGAAAGGGTTAAACCTTTCAGCTTGGAATCTAGAAGAGGCAGGAAGAGAGTACTGGATGGCAGCAGCTTAGCTGTTCACACTTCTGCTTTAGCTCTGGGCGAAGCGGTGAAGGGTCTCAGATTTCAGCTCTGTTAGGCGGGGCTTCAGTTTTCTACCCTCGACCCCCAGTGAGTCTCATGCTGGCCCTGCTGGATGGACCTCCTGAAAGTGGCTCGTGGCCCCTCCTCCAGAAGGCTCCAGGCTGAGAACTGCAGACCCAGGCTACATGGAGGTCCCATGAGCTCTGCCCCCTTCCCTACCCATGGCACACAACCCTGAGATGGGGGACCAAAGCCTGAGCCTGAGCCCACGTTCATGCCGGGCGGCAGGGCTCGCGGGTTTGCCAGCCCTCCAGGATTGGCTGGGAGCCTCCAGGAATTAAGTAACGAGCATGTCATGTGATGCAGTCTCCAGGGATCCATTCAACCACCCAAGGCTAGGCTGTGACTTCAGCCCTGGGTTTGGGCTTTGTCTTCCTCCCCAGTCCCCAGCAAGTCTAATGTTAGCCGGGGGGACCCCACGTGAGAAGCGGGGGACTGCCAAGAGATGAGAACTGCCGAGAGAGTCAGCAAGTGTGTATGTGGCAGCGGTTCACCAGAGGGGGAGCAAATCATCACAATGTGGAAAAAGCGCCCCAGATTCTTATCTTCTCCAGTCTCAGCCCAGATTGACCTAATCTGGGTCCCCGCCACAAGCAGAAAAGGAGAGAAACATTTGGCCTATGTCACATCCAGCATTTGCAGGCTGTGCCAAATGTATGGATATGAGACCAGTTTTTCCTGTAAGCTGGGTGCTTGGGTGGTCACCCAGGAGCGATCCAAATGCCACCCAGCTTACAGTGCCCACATCTCCCACAGCCAGCAGCATGTGTTTCTGCTTGCGGTGCATATCCGCACATGCCTTGGTGCACAATACAACATTTATGCTGCACACAAATGGAAAAAAACTAGAGAGAACATTGGCCGTGACACTATTACCTTACATAATTGTTCAGTAGCGCATGTGTGTAGCATTAGGGATGGCTCACATGGGTGACATTTTACCTGGGAGCAGCTATGCAAATATTGATTGAGATGTACAGTAAACGATAATCCAGAGAAGCCAAGACTGAGGAACTTGTACTCTCTGCTTTGTAAGAGACCCAGAGACACAGAAACAAATTCACCACCAATGTAAGCAGATGCAACTCTGCTGAAGTCTGCTCACTAACGACAGTACCCTTGAATATTTTATTTTGTTTTAATGACTGTTTTACAGCTGTGATGAGTCATGGTCTTATTTTTAATTCCCTTTATGCCTTTGGTCAGGAAATAACCTTAGGAAAGTCCCGCAAATGTTGAAAACACTTTTTTTGAGACTTACATTTAGACATAATTAAAAACATCAAATGTACTTCTATTCTCTTTTTCATGTAGGTGTATTATTTACGGAAACAAAATCTTTTACTGTAAAAAGACAAGAAAGGAGAGAGCCAGTTTGGTGCATGACAGAGAACACCCTTTATGACTTCTCTAACATAGTCACATCTTTTATTACTGTACAGTTACACTTTAGACCTTAATCAGACCAGTCAGATTTCTGTTTTATGCCAAATTAATTGATTATGCCTGTGGTGTAAAATCAAGTTGACTATATTAATTTTCCTCTTTCTCTGTTTCTCCTCAAAGCAGGACTCTCTCATTCATTCTTAAATAATGGATATCATTAAATATGTGCGAAAGCTTCAGAGAGGTAGCCGAGTAAGTCTGTAACTGGAAAAGCTTAAAAAACAACAACAACAACAAATAGTCTAGTAGCACCTTAAAGACTAACAAAACATGTAGATGGTATCATGAGCCTCTTGGGCAAAACCCACTTCTTCAGATGACTGCAGTATAATAAGTTCAGATCCAAGGATAAATAAGGGAAGTGTGGGGGGAGAAGGAAAAAGGGGAGGGGAGGAATAAAAAGAGAGACAGTGAATAGATAGGGCAAATAGTAACAAGAGGCTGTTAAAAACCATTAGCATTCCACTGTTGGGTTGGTTGGTTAAGTCATTAAAAGGTGGAAGATAGTGTGCGAGCCATCCTATATCCTGCTTCAGACCAATTCCACAAGCCAAATACAAAAAGAAGGATTGGAACTTAACTTCATTCACAAGTTCAATTCTTATGCTAATGAGCTGAACCAGGATATAGGATGGCTCGCCCACTATCTTCCACCTTTTAATGACTTAACCAACCAACAAACCAATGGAGGTGCTAATGGTTCTTAACAGCCTCTTGTAACTATTTTCCCTATCTACTCATTGTCTCTTTTTTCTTTCTCCCCTCTCCTTTTTTCTTCTCTCCTCTCACCCTTCCTCCTTCCCTTATTTATCCTTGGATCTGGACTTATTATACTCCAGTCATCTGAAGAAGAGGGTTGTGCCCATGAAAGCTCATGATACTTTCTACAGGTTTTGATAGTCTTTAAGGTGCTACTAGACTATTTGTTGTTTTTTAAGATTTTCCTGTTACAGACTAACTAGGCTACCCCTCTGAAGCTTTTGAAAAATAACAAATAGTCTACCAGCACCTTAAAGACTAACAAAACATGTAGATGAGCTTTCAAAACATGAGCTTTCGTGAGTTCAATCCGCTCTTTAGAGCAGAAAATGTGTCCATATCCATGGCCCTGAATCTGTGATGACTTCTGCATAGTCCTTATTGTATACACAGGGAATAGCTGCAGTGAAGTCAAGCACATGCATAAGTGTTTTGTTGGATTAGGGTTTAACTGAAATCAATTCAAACTATCAAGCACTGTTAATAGGGAGCTAATATAATTCATCCAGTACCACCCAAGCCACCTTAATCTTATTCTCAGAATTACTTACGCTGTCCTTCTTGCTTATCTACCACCCCCTATTCTCACAACATATTACCTTGCTGTACTTAGCAAAATTGGAAATTAATCAGGGCAAGGAGTGTGTCCTTACTCACTATGCAAAATTCCATGGTGATCTATCATTTGTAAACAAGCATCAGACAGTAGCTTAAAGTAATATTAATTATCCTATATCAAAATTGGAAAGCACAGTAATCTGAAGTCATGGATGCAGGGACAGCCACACTGCTACAATATATGTCGGTGAGAGATGCAGGAAAGCATTAATATTTCCAACCTTCCTTTTTCTTCAAGCACTAATTTGACATTCTCAGATTTCTGTGCAGCAGATTTTACACTTGCCCTTTTTTCGAATAACACAAACAGCCTCCTTGTTTACAAAAGATTCAGGTTGGACCCATCTGACATGCCCCTCTCCCCCAAGCGCCAAAAAAAAAAAATTGAGGAAATAGCAAGTTACGAAGCACTCTTTAAGTGTGCCAAACAGTGTGTCTCCACAGAGTGAGAGTTTGTATCTTTACAAGCTACTTCCTTCTGCTGCAAGTGATAAGGAAACATACTGCACCCAGCCTTCTCTCCCAGAGAGTATAATATTTTTTTACCGACAACCTCTGCAACAATCATGGGGTAGCAAGTGGACAGGATAGATATGTTTTGTGATTGTAGGAAACAGGATTTGAAAACTCCCTGGTATGACAAAATCTTAAAAAAAACCCCAGTAGTCCTGTGGCAACTTACAGACTATCAAAAATACATAGAATCATGAGCTTGCATGGGTAAAACCCACTTCATCAGATGAATTGGTGTGAAAATAACAGAAAACAAGATATAACATCAGAAGAAGTACCTGTTAATTGTAGGACCCATGTTAATGAGGCTAATTAAGTAGGTTGGATGTGTCTCATTCATAGCTTTTGATGTGGAAATGAGGGTGTTAGAGGTAGAAGAAGTTTGCTT